ATTTGCCCTAATCTTTCCAACACTTTAGTTCTTTATTTACTTTTTAAAATCTTGACATATATTCTTGACCCATAATATTAGCAACTTGTTTTCAGCTTTTCATTTCTATGGTATTTAATTTTCATTAAACTATCCATCATTTCATTTAAACCTTATTCTACTTTTAGTTACCATCTACACTCAACATTTCGGCTCAATATTTTTTCTTAATTGCATTTTAAATTATTTTACTTTGAATTTATACTTCCTTTTTGTTTTCTCTATCATACTCTTCACACTTTTCCATGATCTCAACTTCTGCTTTCTCTTTACCATCTTGCTGATTTTTTTTCTTTCTACTCTAGGAGTCCCTTCACTTGTTTTTACTATTCTGTGGATCTGTGCTGTGATGGTAAGCCAGAGTTATACAGGCTGAGAGCAGTGAGAAASCCCTTGCCACTATCAGGGAAACTTAGAGAATTTTTTTTTAGGCTGACATTTGACTCCCAGGATGAATCCTCCCAGAAAAATTCCATAAACCCCTTCATTAACTGTCTCTATGCTCCTGTTCTCTCCATAAAGAGAACTCAGTGCATTTACTGGAACAAAAATGCTTCCTAATATTTTGCACTATTGTCTAGCCTTTATGTGAATAACTTCAGGTTTTAAAAATTCTAGTGCTTGGTATTATAAGCCCTGGATTTGGAGCACACTAACAGCCTGATGCTGGGAGTTAGGCCTAAATGTTTTGAGCCAGATAGCTTGAGTTCCCATCGCAGCTCAATTACCTSTGGACCTCCTGCCTAATGTCATAGCAGGAACTTTTGCCCTCTCAGTCCCAGTTTCTTTATAATTAAAACAAATAATAATATTATCTACGTCATAAATTTATGGTAAGGATTTAATGAGATGACATCATGACATGTGCCTATTTGTGTTCAAGGAATGGTCACAAGAGGAAGCAAACAAAACCTGCTCTCTGGAAATGAAATGGACTCTCACCTCAATCCTGGGACAAAGAATGATGAACTACATTTTACAAAGGTCTTTGGGTACTTAGTGAAAATCTCTAAGATTTAGTTTGAGACCAGTTCACCTTGGGAAATGAAAGGACTTCAGGGTCAGCTGGTCTATGAATAGCAAGCACTGCAAAAAGACAGAAAAAGTAACAACCTTGTACTTGCTGACCAGGAGAATGTGTTCACTCCCAAGGTAATGAACACCTGTCTCACTCAGCAAGGTGATATTTTTGGACTAATAATATTTAGACTGCTTTGACAGAATGAGTCTTAAAGTAAATAAATCAGAAATAAGCTGCTACTTCTGATGATCTTGGGAGAAAAAGAGCAATGAGGACCAGAGCCTGCTTTCTCCTGAAGGAGGGCAGAAAGGGTGGGTGGCCCTGTAACAGAACTGCCCCACATTGGAGGGGGTGCTTTGGGTGCATTCTACTGGGAAAYGAGAATCTTTGGTGTTTCCTCCAACAGTCACTTCTGGCAGATTCCAACAAGGGCCTCTAGCCTGGGCTCCATCACCTATAGAGTCACTCCAAGGAGAATATATGACCCATGGAAATTTCTTGACTCTGGGCTCAGAATGAGGTGGGGGTAGAGACATGCATGACTAAAAAAAGATGCTTCTATGTCAGCAGCAGCAAAATAAATAAATAAATAAAATGTCTCTAGGAACTGATGATCAGTGTTCCATTCCATGTATCTATGTTAGTGATATTGAAACAGGGAAGTGCCAGCCGGCTGCCAGTAAGATCTTAATCCCCTCTACTCTCAGTAACAAGAGTAACATGTACTCCCTGAGGTTGTATGAATTGCAGGGATGACTGGCAAGGCTATACCCATCATGGCATGCCCTAGTAATGCTCAGAAATCTCATCTTCCAGATGTTCCACCTACACACTGATGCTTTCCACATCCCTAATCTGACCCATCTCCTGCCTCCCTGCTCTCCCTAAGTCTTCCTCTGTCTTCTCAGGACTTGGGCTTTCTCTTAGAAAACTCCCCCATATCCACCTTTTCTCTGAACTTCTCTTTCTCCCTCTATATAAGACATTGGCTCCCTGATGGTAGAGCTTACTCCAAATTTTCTTAAGAGGAGACTATTTTTCAGGGTGGAGCCTTGAATCATGGACACAACTTATTCTTTCTCTCCATGTAGTGACTTTGTCCCGTGGTTATGTAAGCACTTCTAGATGGAGAAAAGTGGCTACAGTCAAACCTGCTCTGATTCCCTCACTTGGTGATTAATCTGCATAAACTCCTTATATTCTAAACCTCATGCATCTCTCCCAGATGCCATAGGGTTTCTCTCATTGTTGCCACTGGATGTCAGGCAGATGGTGGGCTCATATCTTAGAGTTTTGAGCAATCATTATCATACTATAGTTCTAAGACTCATTATGATGTATTTTTGATATTTTTGAAATGCATTAATTCTTTAAATTCAAGAAAGTGAGCCAGAGCATGTTGCAGCAAATCTATTGTTTATAAAAATAACAGTAGCAAAAATAAGTAAAATAAAATGGGAAACATGAGGAGGCTATTTTTCCATGAATACTACTGACTTTAGCACTTGGATCCCTTTTACTGCTTCCAACAGATATCTCCTTTATCCTCTTTTGAAAGCCACATCTTCTAGGAAGTATATGTCATTGAACTTTTCGTTCACCCCCTATCCCTATTTCTTTCACATAGAGAAAGCCTGGTCATGCCCCTCATTTTCTATGACTTCAGACCCAGTTAATTGTCATGTTTTTTACTATTATCTTACCATTTATTATTTTTTGTAATTTTAGCAACTACATCAATGATGCACATGTGACAGGTTGATTGCAAAACGGTACCGAATTGTCTAGCTTTGCCTGTGTCCATATCCTTTACAATGTGACTTTTCAATTCATCTTATCAAGAAATAAAATCTATTTCCACACTCCCTCATCTGGGCTGGCCTTGTGACCTGCCTCCCAGCAGAACTGACATTGCTCAATTCCAAATCTGGGCCTCATGGGGTCTCCACACTTGCCATTTCTCCCATCTACCTTATAATGAAGCTGCATTGGCCTGTCAAATGGCAGGGGTCCCCATGCAGCAGAGACAACCAACCATCTTAGCTGAGGCCATACAGAGCCAGCCAGCCCCCCTGGCTAACTGCAAACACAGGAGCAAACCTTGACGAAAATGGCCCAGGCTAGCCCAGATCAGTAGACTCTTCCAATCAACCTATAGATTTGTGAGCATTTTTAAGTCATTACATTTTCACTTGTTATGCTGCAAAACTAAATGATACATCTGTGAGTAGGGGATGAGGGGCAAACTTGATAATGGAGTGTAGTAGTGGAGGGGAAATAAGAACAGCACAGTGAAATAACTATTTTAATAGATGCTATAAAAGTGGGAGTAGGTAAGAGTTTTGGATTCAGTTCTTTTGCTGACTTAATCCAGAAGCCTTCTTAAATATAGAGCACCCATTGGGAAATCCTGCTCAAATGTAGAGAGAGTGCATTCTGCCAGCAGCATTTCCAATCAGTAGGCTTTTTAATATTGGTAACAGCAATAGCACTTTGCAAAATCACTTATTCGTAAACTTCTCTAATGTGTAAATGTTTTCACATGATACTTACACCTACACATGCATTTGTATTTCCCATAGTATATCATTCCTCTCAGATTCCCCTTAGAAATCCACCTGAGTATGAAATCCTACCTCATCCCTAGTTGATTGTCAAACAAAAAAGATCTGTCCTTACAATACTGCATGGGGGTATAGTGTCCTTACACTGGCTACATGTAGTGTAGCTTCAAAGGCACAAATTTTGTAGGAAGTGACAAGGAAACATTTCTATTTAACAACAGCAACAAAAAAAGATGAAGTTTCCAATAACTTAACATATCTAAAGATGAAATAGGCTGCTTTCCCATCACTGGATATATTTATAGATGAACTAAACAGTGTTTTAGAAGGATTTCCTAAACTTGGGGTTGGGAAACTAATATCTAAAATTCCTCCCATTTTCATAATAATTTAACTGACTTTATATCTTTATAGAAAAGAGTTTTGGCATTTAAATGTTTATTTCCTGTACTGAGAATGCCTTGTGATATTTTGTATTCTTATAATAAGTCACTACAGAGCATTATCTGATACAAGGCACTCCATTAAACAAGGAAAAAGAGGGAAATCAAGGATTCAGGGAGTTGTATTCATAGGCGTTACATTGTCTCCCAGCTGTCAACTTCAACAAATTGCCCCAAAACTGTTCTTCAAAACAGATTCAGGCAATCCTAATAATAGCATTGAAAGTGGTAGTAAATAAAGACATACTATTGAGGTAATATCCATCATTCCAATGGAACAGTTCAAGTACTTTCCYATAATATAGGTCCTCAAAATTGAAGGTCCTATGGCCCAAATGATTCTTTTTCTTTTTCTTTTCTTTTCTTTCTTTTTTTTTCTTTTTTCTTTTTGGCAGGAGGCAGTGCAAGGAATTGAACCCAGAGTCTCACATGTGCTAGGCAAGTGCTCTACCACTGAGTCACATCCCCAACCCAAAAGATTCTTCATAAGAACAAGCCAAGCAGTTTGCTTTATTACAGGACTTCTCTGGCTTCCATTTTTGATAGAGAAGATTACTTTCCAAAAGGAGAAAGGAAATAAATTATTCCCAAACTTACCTGAACCTGACAACAGAAACCTCTTTGCATGCAACACCTTATAAGAAGAATGTTCCAAAGTTCACATTTTAGGAAAAACACATTAATGTACGTCTCTGTTGATATTTCTGATCAGTTTGCTTCTATCTCATTAACTAATCAAGTAAGGGTAACAGGCATGGTAGGCATAATTGCTAAATTGCTGAATATTCTTAATTTCACTTGACTTCTAATACAACATTTTGCTGCTCTGTTCATTATGCAATAGTTAGATCTGTACTCAGTTTAAATTTCTTTGTATCAGATCTCTTGTTGCTATCAAAAAAAGAAAAAAAAAAAGTAAGCAAGCATCCTTACTTTTGCTTTTCAATTTGGAGTTCCTTCTCCTGAGCTTTGCACAAGTCCTCTTTAAGGATGATGACTTGGTCACAAGGTAAAGATGGAGAAACATAAGTTCCGTCTACTGGCAGATCATCAAAACATGGCTTTCTGAAGGCATATGAGTTGTCACAGCAGTGACCCACACCAGCATTGATAGGCTCAACCTCATGTCTTCTGCACAGAGCTCCAAGAATTAGCTTTGCCTTTCCCAGAGGAAATTAAAATAAGAGTGATAAAGTCTATGGTTATTGCTTTTTTTTTTTTTTGCCCACAGAACATAAGATTATATTTAAGTATTTTCAAATTCCAGTTTCTGCTAGTTTCACCTGGATTTTACTGTGTGGGAAAACAGAAGAGTGCCAGGTGCAGCCTTATTCCTAGCCTTATTCTTCCTCCTCCTGTCATCTTCAGGTTCCTTCCCAGTCGAGTGGACAGACCAGTGTTAATTAGAGCAAAATTTCTTATGCTCCACCAAATTAGAATCAAGCCTCAAGTCAACACTATTGCTAACTTGACTCAGATATAAGATTGGTAACTGCAGTTCTTAAGAAGCTCAAATCCAATTTCTTCCTATTTTTTAATAATTGGACATGTGTAACCAACCACAAAACTTGGCACACAGTAGATGCTCTATGAATATTTGCTGACTGAATAATGAAAGAACTCCTGGAATCCTATGTTGGTTGTTGCCATTTTCTTGACAGTTTTAGACCTGTCACCTTGCCTTACTTCCAACATGGTTCTCAGACACCCATACTTACCCGAATGCCTATAGGCCCCACAGAGTATGCTGACTACMCAAATTCTCTGTCCTGTACATATGTGAGGATGAAATAATTAAAATCAATAAATTTAATGTATGAGTTTACCCATTTTAGAAGTAAACAAAGATATTGCCCCAAAACTAGATTTTAGGAATAAACAAGTCTAATCAGAAGAGTTCCCCAAGGTAGGCATGACTCAATTAAAAAAAAAAAGTTTTTTATAAAGGAAGGCAGGGCTAAGTAATAATTTTTCAATCTACAATTGTGGCAWGTATACTTCATCAAAATAAAGACCACTTGTAGAGAATGGGATCCACCATGGACACAGAGCAGAGAAAGTTATTACCAAACAAGAATTCAGGAGTGTTAAGAAAATACTGCTAGAGACCCAGATGCTAAATCTCAGAGACTTGAGTATCTGGTCCCTGGAGGAATTGTATCCATTGTGAGGAAGAAATAATTTGTCATGATTCCTATAGCCTGAAGGAAATATCCCTCAAGACCATCTATTTTCCCTCTGATTCTAGGATATGATTACTCATATCATAATTCAGCCTTTTCATACAGGAAAAAGGGTAGCCTAGTTATACCAATTATTTCTACTATTAAAAAGACACTGTTCATGGAAATTGAATACATATGGATTCCCATAAACTTAATACTTGTATGATTAGAATGAGTTAGTCTAAGAAACTATTTTTGAAATTTCTGACAAAATCACTTTAGTGCTTAAATATCCGAGCAATAGACCTTGAGATATGATCCAGGGAAAAACTTTATGAATCTAACATGCCTGAAGTTAGGGAGGTTACCCTGTTGATAGCTGAAGACAATTAGCATTAGCTTACCTTCAAGAATGTCCCCTGAGAACAAAATTATGAGGCTCCATTGACAGTTTGTGGATGTCCACAAAAGTGAGATGGATTGGTGGGGATTACAAATTAGAACTCTCAAGAACAGGCAGACATGATGTCACCGATGTACTTACCGAGTCCTCAATACAGACAAACTGTTGCTCATCACTTTGTGGGCAGCATCTGGAGGCTGCAGCTGCCATCTTCTTTGTGAACATAACCAATTCTTGAGCAGATAGTTGTGGAGCTTTCTTGGTGTAAAGGACCATGAGCCTAAAAAAATCAATTTGCTCTTACTAGCAATGGTTACACACCCAAACATCAATTCTACAGAGTTTTCCTCAATAGCTGACATGATCTCTGATTGAGAAGGAACAAGATATTAAATTGAGTTTAATTGTATCCCTTTTGTCTTTCCATTGGACCAGCGCCATATTGAATATACCTGGAGGTCTGTTCCTGCCTCATGCACTGCTCCACTCAAAAACCACCTTTTTTTTTTCTCCTTATCAGGGACACTGTGACAGCTAACTTAGATGGCTGTGAAATCAGACCTAGAGTAAACAGCTTCTGAAACAAATATATGCAGAAACTATAAAGCCTTTAGTGATCATCTGCCATGTGTAGGAATAGAGGGTACAGTAACCATAGCAAGCAGCCCCTGTGGTCCAGGGACTCACACCCTAGTGAGGGAGATGGACAAGTATATTTAATCTGTGGAAAGTACATGGTACTGTAGGTTCTGTCAAGATGAACAAGAAATTAAAAATAAGAGAATCAAATCCTATTGAAAACAAAGGAAGAATTATCCTCCTTCCTTTTTCTTAGYGTCTTTATTTTAGAACACTTTATTTTGTATTTTCATCTCTCTTTGAAACTCATGCAATTTTTTTTTCAAACTAGAAACAGCTTTTTCCAGCTTTATGACCCAGAAACATCTTTCTCAAGGACCCAGAAACCATCCTTTTGAAATGCAAACATGAGAGATAGCACCCCTATCTCCCAGTTTTTGTGAGARGGTAGGAGCTTTACTCTAAGTTGCAAAAGTACTCCCTCTTTTAAAGATATAAGAAGTTAAAAAGTTTATTTTTGTTGCTGTTGTTTTGTTGTCATTTTTGGTTTTGTTTTATCTCTGGATGAAGTCACATAGTTAACACAAATGGTCATCCCAATTARCAGATAAAGTTAGGATGAACTATGTGTGACAAATGGTACTGTCAAGTCCTCTCACTTGAAGACTAGTTATTGTTTTTATGAAAACATGTATGCAATGGGTTGTTTCTGCCTGGCTGTATTCGTGGAGTGAGATTTCCTTCTGTCTTTRCAATCTCTCCATGGATGGCCTGTGATGCACATCACATTTTGATTTTATATTTATTCAATTTTWAAAACCCACTAGTTCATTTTTCCACTACCATTGAAGAGAAGTTTTCTGGGTTGGGAGATTTTGTTTTTAATTATATTTCCCAACAGTGCACAAAAGATGGTATCTAATCCCATCTCGGGGAACTCAGACAGGTGGCCCTAAGGAAATGACTTCTGAGCTGAGATCTGACGAGGACTCTGAGGGAGTCGGGTGAAGAGGAATGGAAGTCATGAAGTCACTGACTATGGTTTGGTTTGGTTTTATTTGATTGRGGGTTTGGGGACAAAGTGCAAGACAGAGAGATGTGGGAGAGAAAAACAAGTTGGTTATAAAATCAGATTTACATTGGTTTTAAGACATAAAGAATGGATTGGGGATGGGCAAGAGGTAAAGTGAGGGAATAAAGAATTCCAAATTCTGACATCCCAGGTGAAAGAAAACCGGGGCCTGAATTAAGAGAGTGTTGGATGGAATCAAAAGAGATGGAGAGAGATTTTTAAAGAGACTCTAAAGAACTAGGTGCTGAAGACAACAAAGAATTAGAATCAGTTACTGCATTTGTAATGAATGGAGTTGGAGAAGAGTGTGGTTTATATAAYATCCAATGAAACCAACAATCTAATCATGTGGTGATCAGAGGGCAGCCCTAGACCACCAGTATCAGCATCCCTAAGCATCTGATAGCAATGCAAATACTCAGGCCCACTCCAGACTTACAGAATCAGAAACTCTGGATGCGGGGTCTATATTTTAACACATCTCTCTGCATTTTGATTTATTCCAAAACTTGAAAATCACAATCTAATCCTTCATTAGCAACTGAACACAATGTAAAAAGAAAAGTAATAAGCCAAGAAATTCTTTCTAGATGAGTCAGAAAACTATTTTTTGTGATCCATTATTCTGGACATTTAATTTAAGCTCAGTATTATGAGACACTATRTCAAACTGAAGTTTTTTTCAATACTCTACTTCTTAATAGACTATTACAGTAAGGTCTCAAAGATTCCTAAAAATTGGCTTTTGTTTTGTGACAACTTAATCTTTGAGATACAGTGGGATTTCCCAGGCTTTCTGTACACATATTCTCTTTGGCAAGTAACTGATAATGTTTATCTCTTGGTAGTGATGAAAATACTAAATTTGCTTGATGAACCTGACTTAAAACTGTTACAAAGGGACCCTGGATTAGATTTCTGTTGCAGCCTTGACTCAAAAATCACTTGACTCAAACTAAACATTCAAATGTAAGGAAGAGACCTCTGTGAGATTTCAAGGGGACAGTAGCGCCTCCTTTGTTCCCTAACCTCTGGACATTGACTGGCATCTGAGGAGCTGGCCTGGAAAGCCAATGTGGAAATACCCAAAGTTCCATAGATATCTATCTTAACAAAGCAACTGGCAAGTTAATTCTGAAGGGTTTTTTTCCTATGTAATTTTTATTCRTGCAAATTAATCATATATAATTGTGGGTTTCATTGTAGGACATTTAAACATGCATATAACATACTTTGATCAATTTCACTCTTYAGTACATGCCCTTGCCYTCMCCTTCTTCCTCCCYATAACCCCCTTCTTCTCTCCTAATGCATTTCCTTCTATTTTTCTTCAACCTGGGAGATTGAAGCAATTCTCAGTGTCAAGAATGAACAGAGGAGAGCCCTAGACCACCAGTCACTAACAAACACAAATCTGAATWTCTTAGAGGCATACCTGTCATGGAAGTTACTATCTCCCAATTTTTCATGTAAATCACAGTAATTTTTCACATGATCACGGCTTTCTYGTACCACTCTTTGGAACAGCACTTCCTGAAAAACAGAAATAAGTAGTGTTTACATATGGTTGCAAACATTTATCTGCAGCTGAGATTGCAAACACATTTCTAATAGTATAATATAAATGTTTCCCTAAACCCAGATCTTCATTAGTGAGTTCACAAATCTTAAAGCTCACATTTTACTGAAAGAAAAATCACCATATATTTTGTGGCAAAAAAGTGGGACAGCAAGATTGATATCTGGATTCCCATGATATAAACTCATTTGTGGGCTTAACTGCTGTGTTCTACAAACACAAGGCAAATCATTCATCAAGCCAAAGAGAGGAATGCAGAGAAGTTGATAGATTTATGTTTGGTCTGTGCATGTGTGTCTACTGGTTATTTTAATAATATAGCCTTTTCATATAAGCAGCACAGATATAGATATATACGTACAGAAATATACATATGTGTTAAGAAGTCATGGTTTAATAAAAAAAAGTCATGTTCAGGCTGTGAACATTACATAAAATACACATCAAAGTGAACTAGATGTAATTTTCAGAGGTAATGGCAAATTCACAGGATTCTTGAACCATGAAAATAATATTCTAATGAGAAGATACTAATGATCCTGCAGGCTGAACTCTTTGGTAGAAAAAATGATCACCTTACTAGTCAGATCTAATCCACCTTATCCTAAAAAGCAATTCTTGTTCAGTAAAATTTCCACCCAATTTTGCAAGGAGTTGACCTAGATTTTATTCTAAGCACTGTCTCTACTACCTGTGTGATACCAAGCAAATCACTTGAATCTTCTGAAATCAGTTCTCTTGTTATGGTTTAGGTATTAATTGTCCCCCCAAAGCTCATGTGTGAGACAATGCAAGAAAGTTTAGAGGTGAAACAATTGGATTATGAGAGCTTTAACCTAATCAATACATTAATCCCCTAATAGATATTAACTGAGTGGTAAYTGTAGGCAGGTAGGGAGTGATTAGAGGAGGGGATTCACTGGGGGTTGTGCCCTTGAAGTTTACATTTTTTCCATGGTGAGGGAAGCTCTCTTTCTCTGCTTTCTTGTGGAACCAKGTCCTGAACAGTTTTATTCCACCACATCCTTCTGATATGATGTTCTGCCTCACCTCGGGTCCAGAGCAACCATGTCAACCATCTATGGGTTTAGATCTTTGAAGCCATGGACCCCCCAATAAACTTTTCCTCTTCTAATTGTTTTTGTCAGGTCTTTTAGTTACACACACACACACACACACAAAGACTAAAACAACTCTTCTACTCCTCTCTATAAAGTGTGCTTGGTAATTCAAGCATTACTTATCATGCCAGGCTATGGTGAAGATCAAATAGGACACTCGTTGTAAAGCTGTTCGTAAATTCTAAACATCCATGCTCCTTCAAGTTGCTATAGTCATAGTAATTAKTGTGAAAAACTAACAGTGATGCAATGAGATGGGTGTTTCCATACAGGAGACTAAATCATCTTCCCTATCCTTCTGAGAACAGTGAAGTCTCAGGTGTGATTGCTTGAGGCCAGGCAGAACAAGATGGCCCTTTGTACACACAACCCTAGACCTCTATTAATGTGTAAGACATTGAGCAGAATAAAAAAAAAAAGCCAGAACTACCCTATCTTAAYTCAAAGATAACTGATAGGCTGATGAGAAGATTTTTAGGCCGCCAGCTTTTACATTTCAAATGCACAAGAGCTTCTACCTGTGAATAGTAMGGTTTCTGGCTTGGAAAGGTAATATCTTCTAGGGCTCCGTAAGAGGTAAACTACCCATACTCAAATGGAATGCACTCTCAAGCTACCTGCTACTGTGCTGAGCATACATCTGTAGTCACTTAAGATTGCTGAGGTTTCTGGAAACAGTCTGTAAGGCAATGACTCACCCAGAGTCACTAAGGTAAGATGTTAGTGCTTGCAATTAGCTAGAACATTTATAATCATCTTACAAAAATATGGCACTACTTACAGCACTGGAATTTTTCCTGTTTGTAATCACTGATGAGAAACACATTWAAAAAAAAAAGAAAAGGAAAAGAAGAAATTTACCGCATGACTATAGCATTCCAAAGGTTTTTCTAATTTACAACATTTTTCCAATAAATTTTTATATTTTGCTTCTACTCTTAAAATCACTRGAACTGCCAACTCTGGWTGTCTTCTTGAATATTCATAGAGAAACCTGTATCATGTAAAATRTATTGGAAGTTAAACAAAAAAATTTAGAGGCCATGAATTTACTTAAAACAAACAATAATTACAGTCATGATGTCTAACTAACTCTAAGGCATGTAGAAACCTCGGGAAAAGGGAAGAGAAGTTTTATTTTGAAATCAGAAAACCAAATCAATAAATAATATGACTATTCCAAAGTCACGCAGTAATGAATGGCAGATTCAGAACTTGAACCTAAAACATACTTGTTCACTGGTAGTTTCTGGTTCTGAGTCTCTACTTACTTTTACTGGAAATTAATTTCAAGTGTTTGGGTAGAATAACAATCATTTTTCCCTGTAATCTTTGAGGCTCTTTTTTTTTTTTTTTTTTTTTTTAAGATAGAGTGCTCTCTAGGTATTGAATCACTGTGTTCACCTATTTTCCAAAGAAGCCTTTAAGTGTGAACAGTTTACTCATAATCTACACATTCATCTCATTCACAAAAACAAAATTGGGTTCTAGAATATTTTTAAAGGAATTACAAAATTATGAAGGGGCCTTTGAAGTTATCTTGTCTAACCACCTCAAACCCTGGGGAAATCCAGTGATTTTTACCTACCATCCACAGCGTATGCATGTCAAAGCTGGAATTAGAACTCAAGTCTCTTTAACTCATAAACCTTGTTCTTTTTTACACTAGGACCTATGCCTGTTGACTGTAATTTTTTAATGGGTACATTCAGATAGTGGCATCTAATTTTATTAGCCAGTATAAAATACAATTTTGGACATTCAGTTAAGGTCATTTTACAATGGACTTTGAGGAAAACTCCAATTTTCCATTGCTTCCCAAAGTGACTTTGAAAATATTTCAACTACATAGCAATATCATCTTGATACTATGTATTGAAATCAGTTTGCCTTTTGCGCAAAATAACATGTACTTCTGAATGGACACCGAAAATGTTAATAACCCTATTCTCTAATCTTTAAATACTACAGCATGGATTTGATAGTGGATATTAACTAGAAGAGTTGGCCATGTACATAAAATAATCCGAAGCTTTTGCTCATCTCTAGTCCCTAAGAGTAAAGCTTGCAAACACTGGGTGTTTTTGTTTTTGAAATTCCTATATTAGTAGTCGACCTTCAAAAAAATCAAGAGATTTTTAGCTTCTTCCAATGCAGTAGACTCAACATCCCAAACCCACATTTCCACATAACTGTCTGACTGGACCTGAATAGCCAGCCGCTGCCAACTTTGGAATCCACAAAGCATTTCCTAGCCCAAAGCTCTCACTTGGCTACTCAGCTCCATCACCAACTGGGCCCCATCATGATTCAAATTTGCAACCTCGTCTACAGAATCCATATATATATGGATATATTCCATCCTTTAGATTTTACAAAAAGCTATATTACTGGGCTGGGGATGTGGCTCAAGCAGTAGCATGCTCGCCTGGCATGCATTCGGCCCAGGTTCTATCCTCAGCACTACATACAAAGATGTTGTGTCCGCCGAAAAACTAAAAAATAAATATTAAAAAAATTCTCTCTCTCTCTCTCTCTCTCTCTCTCTCTCTCTCTCTCTCTTTAAAAAAAAAGATATTCAGTTTTTTGGTTTTTTTTTTTTTTAAAAAAAGCTATATTACTCTTGTAGAAAGTCATCTTGGTTGTCAGTGAATCGTTCGCATACAAATCGGTCTTCTGTAAACCTGCTGAGTGGCAGGGATGAAAGGTCAGGTTTGTCCTCATTTCCTGCGTTGATAATACATTCCCCTCGGAATGGCGCTGGAAGTTCACAGCACTGAGTGATCTTGCTGGATAGGGCAGCCTGTGTAGAGCAGGTGTAGTTCATAAGCTGGCTCTATAAAACAGAGACAGGAGGGGGACTTTTTTGATGGCTTCATTCCGAACTTATTTTTTATTGTTATTAGTAGAAAACCAGGGGAAAAATTGGTACCTTAGAGGGCTTTATCTGTAGGCCAAAAAGGTCATTTATATTTACTCATTTTAGAAAGACATACTCACCTACTTGAACTTASTCAATTTTCACAGCTCTTTTTAACATCTAGCAAAGAACATATGAGACAGACTTTATTATTGTTTCTATGTTTAGCCCCAGAAAAACACAAATGAAAAATTTGACTGTCTTTCTATTGTGATTCTTTTTGAGGGATTCCAATTTAGGGAGCATTTTGTCCCTGAGTCACATCACAATTTTTCCTTTATTGTATACATTCTATATTACTATCACACTTACATGTTTACTTATATATGCATCCAAATAATTGGGTGTGTATATAAATAAACTAGTCTCTGCATCTAAGGAATTTGCAATCTGGCTGGAGAGTCAAATAATTAAATAACAATCCTAATACATTATAATGTTAGATGTTGTAAGAGAAGTACACACATTTTTCTTTGGAAGCAAAAAGAGAGATTGGGAGTTCAGACTGGAGGGATGTCACAATRAAGATCTTCAATGATTTGAGTCTTGAAAGACAAATAGAAATTAATTTGAAGCAAGTGAAGAGGAAAAGAATTCTGGAATTATTTATCTTTAYATATAAAGAATCTTAAAAGTATAAAAGCATGACATATTTGGGAAATGGAATAAATGGAGGGTGTTTGGAAGTTATTGAGAAAATTTTGTCAAGGAATGATGATGGGTGAATCAAATCAGTGATCGGACAGTAGAATGTAAAATATTTTAATAAACAATAAATAAGAATTAAAGGGGAGTGAGGAAAAATAACCTAGGATATAATATGGGATAAGGTTGATGATAGTATAATTTACTGAAACTGATATTCAGGGGAACTATCAGGTTTGAGGAGTGTGGTTACAAAAGGGAAGCCAAGGGCTGAGTAAGGAGAGCATCTGTTCAGGGAGCCCAAGCTGCCTATTAAGCTCCATCAAGATGACAACCTCYCCAAAGCATGGACACCTTGTGGCAGAGCCTATGGGGGAAAGCCAGTGAGGAGCCTGACTTGGATTGGCAAAGACCTGGGCAAGAAGCTGGAAGAACATGTCATCCTTGGTCAATTTCTGGTGATAAAGAAAGATGAAGATCTCTTCCAGGAATGGCTGAAGGACACATGGAGCGCCAAYGTAAGCAGTCCCAGGACTGCTTTGGGTGCCTTCTTGTGATGTTCTCTGGGGGGCCCTCCATCCCCAGCCCCATTATCAAGTCTCCAGAGTTGGCAGCTGAGTGGGGGCTCCCTGTCCTCCACAAAGGAAAAGATTGCTGTTGTCTTTGGGAGTTCTCTCCCCTCATCATTTCAATCTTTTTGGAATTTTTGCTCTGGGATGCAACTCCCTTTCTTTCCCTGCCAGTTCCATGGAAACCATTAACCAGCCTTTCTGATTAGATTCCTGGTCTCTTCCCTCATCCCCACCTTCAMCTCTGGTTGGTTTGATGCCCTTTGTCACCTTTTGGGCATAGCAGTCACTGTCCTTGTCAAGTTTTTTAGATCAATAAAGTCGATGGACTTCAAAAAAAAAGGGGGGGGGGAGCCAAAGAGGGACAGGGTTACATGTGAGGCACTGGGTTTGATCCTCAGCACCACACTAAAAAATACAAATAAATTTTAAAAAGGTAGTGTATCTATCTACAACTAAAAAAAAAATGTTTTAAAAAAGGAAGCCAAAGAATTTGCTATGGATATRTAGAGTTTAAGATGATGTAAGGCATCTATGAAGCATCTAGGAGGAGATTTCCTCTAACAAGTTGGGGGTATAAACTAATRTCTCAGGAAAAAAGAATAGAATGAAGGTACAAATCTGAGAGTAGTAACTTTAGCTGAAACTAAATTACAAGTCAAGTGTGCTTCAGGGAAAGTGTGCCTMAATTAAGCAAGCACCATGCTCTCAGTGGCTCAACAAACACAAGGTCATCTCTCTCCAAAAGTCCCAGCAGGGAGGAAAGGTATATGTCCTCTAGCAGTAGTTCTGGGAAGTTGGCTGACAGAGGCTTTCCATATCCAACCTGTGCCTTCCAATGTACCCTTCAGCATTAAAATCTACCAGGTATTGGGGGGATTGTAGAATATAGCCAGGAGGTTTCTATGGGTCAGACCTAGAAAAGGCATAGACCACCTCTGAACAAAACTAGTTTTGAGACAGTCAGGAAATAGAGTTCATGGCCCAGCAACCACCCTGGACTGTGGAAAAGGAGACTGAATCCTTTGCCAGACAACAATATCTGCAGCAGAACTTATAGGGTAAGAAAAAGAAAGGTCAGCTGATATTGTGGCACATGCCTGTGATCCCAGTGATCCAGGAGGGTGAGATAGAAGTATCACAAGTTCAAGACTAGTCTCAGCAACTTAGCAAGACCCTGYCACAAAATAAAAAATAAAAGGGCTAGAAATGTGACTCAGTGGTTAAGCACCYTGTGGGTTCAATCCCCAGTACACAAAAAAAATTAAATAAAATAAAGCCACTAACACATCTGTCTAGAATATCAATTTTTAAAGGGTAGTAAAAAAAGAGAAAAATTTTGATGAATGCAACTGTAAGAATATAGACATTCTAAGATGAAAAACTTTTCCCACCATCTTTTGTGGAAGAATAAATTGTTGCATTGAATGACAGATAAAATCTTAAAGACAGAGCTATCTTGACTTTGCTACTTCCTGGCTCTGCAACTTTATCAAGTTGCTTCATCTCTTTGTATCTCAATTTTCTAATCTATAAAACGGGTATAAAAATAATACTTGAYATGGCTATGGTAATTAAATGAATTGATATTTCTTAAGATCAAGGAACAAAGCCTAGTACAAACTAAATGCTATAAAATGGTTTATCAAATTTTAAAAAAGTGATTTCTATATAATCTTAGAAAGTTGTTCCTATAGTGCTATGAAGTCAGGGAATGAGAGAACCTAACTGAATTGTGTTGACTGGCTGATATAAAAAATGTTAAACTATATTAATTTATGTCACTTAATATTAATGTTCATTATAGACATACTGCTTTGTAACATAATGCTGTGAAATAACATGGTAGGATGCAATGATCTCTTCGAGAAAATAGTGAAAACCTTCTTATACAATGTTTATAGTAGCACAATTTTCAATAGCCAAGCTACAGAACCAACCCAGGTGCCCTTCAATAAGTGAATGAATAAATCAAATGGAGTATTACACAATGGAGTATTAATTAGTCATAAAACATTTGCCAGTAAATGGATGGATCTGGAGACTGTCAAGCCAAGTCAGTCTCCAAAGACCAAAGATCAAATGTTTTCACTGATATGTGGAAGCTAACCCACGCTAGGTGGAGGGGGTTTTGGAGAATAGAAGGTCAGTGTGTAGACAAAGGGGATTGAAGAGAAGTGGGGGGAGGATGGGAATAGGAAAGACAGTGGAATGAATCTGACATGACTTTCCTATGTACATACATGAATACACCACAGTGAATCTCACCATCAAGTGCATCCACAAGAAATTAATTAAAAAAAAACTGTAGGCAAATGGCATAAAGATCAATATAGAGAAGGAATGAGGGTGTAGGGAAAGGAAGGGGAAGGAGAGGTAATGGGGTTTGAACTAGAACATGACAGATTCCATGCTTTTATTATTAAAATGGATTCTATTATCATGTATAACTAAAAAGAACCTAATAATAATAATAATAATAATAATAATAATAATAATAAAGAAATGGGGCTGAGGGTGTACTTCAGTGGTAGAGCCCTTGACTAGCATGTGTGAGGGGCCCTGGATTTCAACCCCAGCAGCAGCACAGAAATAAACAAACAAACAAGCATATAAGTAAATTAAAATAAAAGAAGTAAGAAAGTAAAGAAAGGAGAGAARAAAAATTACTACATGAGCTGGGAACAGAGAGGAGGAAGACAGCATTCTACTGATAATATTGAGAAATCATCCTTATTTTTCTAGATCAATTATTATTACTGTATTACTGTACCATTATTTAAGAATTCTAAGCTGTCTAAAGAATAAAGTGAGTTTCAGGAAAAAGATTCTTACCCTACCAAGAGCACACGCAACTGTGTTTCCTTCACAGCAGGTCTCATGCAGATTTTTAACATCAGTGGTCAGTTTGGCAATTTCAGAAAAATTAGATTTAGGTTGTTTTTTAGTGAGCAGAACCAATTCCCTGAAAAGAAAAATAACACATTTTAAACAGTATTTTGAACTTTATCATTTCTAAAATTAGTTCTAGTTCATCAAGTAACCAAAAGAAGAGAAATGTATTTGCAAATGTGAAGAGAGAACATTACAAATGCATTCTACTCCTTCAGTGATAGCAGCCAGAGATCAAGTCACAGAAACAAGCAATTAAACATCATGTAAAATATGGCAATTTTCATCATTTTAGTGATCTCTTAAAGAACTTGAGTTGCTTAGCGAGGCAATGAAATGCAAGGCTAGCTAGGCTTGGAAATGTCTGACTTCCCACTTAAACCTTGTCAACATCAAAGCAGAGATTATGAGGCTGGGCCCTTACTTCAGTGGACAAGGGAATAACTTCCCTGAAATCTCTCTGGTCTTTCCGTGGAAGGATAACTGAGCTCCCAGGAAGTTCACTGTTGTCCTAAATTAAGGAAGAAGGCAATGTAAGAAAGATGCCTATCTTCATGGGTTAACTTGGACAGAAAAGCCATCTGGACCAGAAAGGAGGCAGCTGAGCAGCATCAAATTCTCTATCTCCACCCTCAAAAGCACTCCTCGATTTTTCTATTTTACATGGTGTTGGAGCCAAAATCTTTCCTATCTTCCAAAAGAAAAGAATACCTTTTGTCCTCTAACCTTTAGCGGGCTGAAATTTTTAGTAAATGCCTGTATCTGAATGTTAAAATCTTTGATTCWCTGAAGAAGAAATGAAGGGATTGAAGCAAATGGGAAAACTTGAAGCAGGAGACAGTGGGGGCAGTTGGGTATTATGCAATTTCATCCACAGCCTTGTGTGCTCTATTTGAACAGGCAAGTAACACGTTTAGAGAAAGATTCCAGGTTTCTATTGACAGACTCTGCTAAGTGAGAGGGTAAATGATTTTTCAAGTTTAGTCAAAAGAGCAACAAAGTCCACAAATCCACACAGATAACTTACACAGCTTTTGCTACTTTGTGGTTGAATTTAACCCCAATTTCACATAAATGATGATGTCTCAAAGATATTTCTCTAATGTATTTTCTGATGGGTTCTAGCTGTAAATAGAGAAACAGTATATCARAGAAATATGATAGTAACAGAAAACATTAATCTCAGCATTAGTAAAAAACCAAGGAAAGAAAAATAAATATTATATATCTTCTCGAAATTAGAAAGTCTTCCACTGAATACTTAAGAGGGCAAAATGTAAAAGCATTAACATGGATTTTCTTGTGAAATAGAATCTTGCTTCCCTAGAGATCACTTGTCCCAGAACCTCAAACATTTGGAATATAAATGAAAACAAGAAAGTGAACAAATAAAAACTTGGAGAGTCACCAGAATGAATTTCAATAATGTCTTACAGTTGTATTTTGCTTTTATCAAAGTTATTAACCTTGCCATCCTGGACAAGTCTCATGCTGCTTAACTAAAATGTGCCTTGTTTGCAATATCTATTAATTAACTTCTCCTCCACATGTTYTTCTTTTGTTTTGATTTGTTTTTGCAGTACTGGAGATTGAACGCAGAGACTTTTATCCCTACTCAGCTACATCCCAGCCCCTTTTTAAAATTTTGAGACAGGGTTTTTAGTTGCCCAGCCTGGTCTTGAACTTGCAATCCTCTTGCCTGAACCTCCCATGAAGCTTGGATTATAGCCGTTGCCACTATGCCCAGCTAAATGTTGATATTCTTTTACTCAGATTTCTACTTTTGAAGCTATGACAAATTTCCATGAATAAATAAAAWCATAATTATGCAAAAATAAATGCATACATGCTTTTTATGATAGCAAAATTTTGAGACAATAAAATAACACAACTTCAGAGTGACAGTTAAATAAGGCACATTATTTTTGAGAAATTTATATTTCTAATAAAAACAGGCATGTTTAAGCTCTGATAAAAATTGTATGTTCAGTGTGATTGCAACCACGTTTAAAATAAAATCTGTGAGGAAATCGGTGAACATAAGACATTATTATTATTAAAGAAAATATACCCCAATTGTCATCTCTATGTGGTAGAAATAGAATATTTAAAATTTTCCAAAAAGTTCTGTTTTCATTTAAAACATTATATTGGCCATATATTATTTTTTCCTATGAGTAACTGTGCCTTACAGTGATATTTTCAAAAACAAGACAAATAATGTATATAAAGGCAATATTCAAACCACAAAACTATCATGATAATAATAGCTTGACTTGAATATTATCAAATACAAGTTAATTTTATTTTATAGCCAATTATGGATTGTTATTATTTATTATAATTTATTATTTATTATTATTTATTATATACACTCATTCAAAATCAAGTATAAATAAGATCATCCACTTTTACATAATAGAGTTTTAACTCATAGATTCCATTCTCTGATCATAGACATAAGTTTTACACAATTGATTATGTAACTTTCTCTAAGGAAGCAACAAGAGTTACTAGGAACAGAAGTCCTAGCAGTTGCCACACTATAAATATCACCAAGTGAGGAGGAGGGGGAAAGATTTCTTAGCTAACTTACAACACCTGCTTGTGTTTAACAACACGGGGAAATTTAGGACAAATCTCCCCTGGAAAAAATCTAATTATAAAAGACTTTATAATTAAAACATAAATACATGCAAGTTATTTACAAAATTCACCTCCATGGGGGGGGCATCCTTCAGAAATGCTGGGTATTGAGATATGTCTCTGCATGATAACTGGCTTTGGGGTTTTTAATTAATATGAAACCAAAAGAAGTAAAAATGGCTATCTTGCTTAGGAATTTGGAATAGACTTCTGACMWAACTGGAGTTTACCAAGAGAAGAATGAGGAGGGAAATAGGAAATATATATAAATAGATTTAAGGAAAACAGCTACAATCATTGAGTACTTAGCCTATGCAAGAAACATCATTTAATTTAATTTCTGACAGACAAGGAAAAGCTGATTAATGAAATAAAATTGTCCTATTCTAAAATATGAGGTTTAGAGGAAATGAGATAATTTCTCAATGAGAAGTTCAAAGAAGACAGCAAGGAAAAAGTGGCACTGCATTTAGTCTTGAGGAATTCATCAAAATGATTGCTAAACTAATATTCATTTTTAGCATGACTTTTGGAAAATTGACCTAGTATCCCTTCAGTAAAATAAAGATGATCACTTTATGTTAATATTTAGAACCTTTAGTGAAAATGCAAAAAAAAAAAAAGACCTTTACAATGGAACTACTTACTGATTCACATCTATACAATGAAGGAGGAAAGGCCACATAACAAAGTTGCTTGTCAGATGTATTTTCCAAAGGTGGCTAAAACAACATCTCATAYCCCATGTTCTTACAAAGAGACCTCAACAATCCTCCCATCAAGAGGTAAGGTAGGTATATGGTCCCCTCCAAATGRGTGAGGTTTCATAGTGTTTCAACGAGTAGAGCATGGCAAAAATGACTTCTGACACTAGATACAAAGGACCAAGCAACTTGGTCTTTATCCATTACACAATGCCTTGAAGCCTTAAGCTACAAGTCCTCTGCATCCAACTGCCCTCAGGCTGTTATGCTATGAGGAAGCCCAAACTTACCCAGGGCAGAGATACTGCATGGAGAGACATTTGATATTTTATAAGGAAAAAAAAAAGATGGCAAACCAATGCCCAGTGCTTCAGCTTGAAGCCACATGAATTATCATGAGCCAAAAAYCTCCAGATGAGCTATTTCCTGAATTCCTTATTCCCCAAAATTATAAGAGATAATTAACTGATAGTTATTGAGTTATTAAGTTTGGAGGTGTTTTATTATGCAGGAATAGTGGCTGGAATATTAAATATTTATTATTTATTAGGAAGTAATATCTATGTTATAGTATGCTTCTCAAATCTTACTGATTGGATGAATTACCTGTGTATCTTGTTAAAATGAAATCAGTTTAGTAGGTCTAGAGAACAGCTTCCAACTTTGCATTTCTAACAAGCTGCCAGGGGATGAGTATGCTGCTCATCCAGAGTCACACTTGCCATAGCAAGGCCCTAAACAGCAGTTGGCCCGTGTCTATTATACCTTTATCTGCAGGCATTCGGTCTTATTTTCCTCTTGACAACATGACTGAATAGCTGTTTTGTAGCAAGCAGACATGGTCAGGATAGTGGGTCCATATAAGTATGGATGCCTTCTAGAAATTTCATAACTGTACCTGTAATTTGACAAACACAAAATTGTATAATTTGGAATTCAAGAATTAATGGTGACACTATTTCTTAAAAACAGAATTCCTTTCRTTTTATTGACCTGAAACTTCTAGAAATGCATAGTGATTCAGATGAAATAGCACACTTTGCTTAAATGCTTCACATCTTCACTGTGGACAGATCACTGTGAGGTTGGTCAGACATTCCTTGAATGCCCATGAAGTGACCAAGGCCTGTGGGAAAAGAAAACTCAGTAATATAACTTCCCACTTTTTTATAGAGTGGAATGTAGAAAGTTCAAGAGTCTAAACTGAATTGTAAACAGTGCTGCATAAGAATTAAATTTAGAAGAATTGACAGGTACACAGAAGTCTCTTACGATCTTTCAGAAGTCCTTTCTAGACTATGAGAGTTAACACCATTGACCTTCAAGGTGTGTTGTTCAGTGCATTCATTTGTTTCTAAATTCCCAATAATCATTTCCTCTTACTAGTCTTCAAGGCTTATTCAAGACCTACCTGGACACACATGCAAATATACTCAACAAAAGGCAAATCACAGATAGAAAGTGGTTTGATGCTCACACAAATATATTTTCTCTTCCTGTGTGCACAGGAAGACTACCTTTCCAGTCTCTCTTCCACTTAAATTGAGAACATGAAACTGAGTTCTGGCGGATAAAATATGAATAGGTATTCTATCTATCCCTTCTCAGCTTGGCCATTCATTGCTTTGTGAAATTCCTAACTATCTTTCTGTTGGAAAGATAGTTACTGTGGAGGAGAATGGTCAGGATTTGAGGTGAGCTGGAATGAGCTGAGCTATCAGGTGTCAAAGTAGCCAAGTATGACTTAGAAGCCAAAATTGAAGTAACAGTTACACCTTTCATCATTTACCAGCATCATAAAAAACAAGGGCTAAATTGAAGAAAGTACCAATTTCCCTCTGTCCCATTTTTTTCCCATGTCCCAGGGAAAAGGATCCGGTGGATCAGCATAGATCAGTATAGATGTGGGGTCTGCTCATCCCTGAGGGAGTCCCCAAAAAAGGCATCCTGGAGCAAGAGAAAGAGGAAGAGGGAAAAGGCTAGAATGGAAAAGTCAGAGCGGAGAAATGTCTTCAATTTTCTCCTTTCATTCCTTAGTAACAGGATTTTCGCAGAGGTACACTGGGAATGCCTCTGCAGAAGGTCCTCTAGAARGAGGTCTTGAAACAGGCAGCTGAACTAGGGATGCAGCTGTGGGTGGGAGCATAGCAGCCACATGGCAGTCGAGGCCTGCGTCCTTGACTGCAACACCCTTTAGGCTCTGCCGTGCACTGGCTGTGTACCCATTCCGGTGCCAGGAGGGACTCTGAGATGGCCAGTTGTTGGGCATGAAACTGTGGTCAATGATAGCCTATGTTAACACTTTAATAAATGAGTAGTTAAGCTCATGTTTGGATTCCCAGYTGGTCTCCCCTAACATGAGGCATGYTGGAACTTGCCTGACTCCTTTATCCCCGAGTCCTTCCTCCCTAATGTCTGATACAATTTAATTCCTTCTTGAAGTTTCAGAAAGATCCGGAAGCATTTCTACCTCATATGGGTGAAGTAAAGGCGTTTAAGCCATTCATCATCCAGTTTCCCTGTCTCCTTTTCATGCCTGGTCTGGATTGCATGTCTAAAACCTAAAATCAAATCACTGCTTGGTTTCTACAGTCTATCATCTGCCTTATTCTTCATGTCTGAGCCTGTCTTGACTAATATAGCCAGAACTGCATTCTTTGAGAGTCAAAGTCTCATATTTCCCMGTCCTTTTCTGACTGTAAACCCCAATTGCTTGCTAGTACCCTCTTCAGACTCATCATATGAATGCTGTGCCAAGGAGGACTCCAAATTATGAGCTCAGCAACACATTTGCTGGAGTGCTATCCACTCCACATGGAAATTACAGAGCCAGGATTTTTAAGTTGAAAACTCATTTCTATCTAACCTACAACTGCTGCTTATTTCTAGGCTCTCAATGACAGACTTTTTCTTCATGCTTGTCAGATAACCTCTCTGCTCCTTATCATTGACCCTCCCTAATGCTGGTCCCTATTACCTGGTCTCTGTCTCTACCTGTTTATTATGTTTTGCCTACTTGGCTGCCTATTTGACTGTACCTTCCAATATCATTTGCTGTTGATCTGCCTAATCTAGCTCTCAAGAAGATGAGTCTTATAGGTCCTATTCATTTTTAGTTTATTTCACACAGAGAGATTTTTTTTTGTCCTGTTGTTCAATAGAATAGTAACTGTCATTATGAGGGAGAAAAAAATATATATATAGTGTCTCAAATTTTTAATTTAATTCCATGTAATAAAACATTGTATCCTCAGAGGAACTTAAATTTTAAAAATAATCTGTCTTCAATGTTGGAAAATACTCTCCTTCAAAGACAATGTCAAATAAAGATGGCTTACCTCTCCTTCATGGTCACTTGATTTTCTTTGTCCATTTCACAGATCATCTCAGGCTTTAGACTTTGGAATCCATCCTTGTGATYTCCATAATCTTTTTTATAGAATAAGAAGCACTTGAGCCTTGCTGTGCTATTTGTATTACAACAGTTAGTAAACAGGTATTTGGCAAGCATTCCTTGGTTGTCACAAATATGCTCTAGGAAGCTGGTCATCTATAGGAAGAATGATGACTTAGAGGGGAGAGTCTATGTAATTGACACTCCTGACTGCAGGAAAGTTAAGAAATTATTATAAAGAAGAAGAAACTAAGTATATCACATTAAACTAGTCCCTAGGTGCAGCTCTTTTGAGCAGAAGCCTTTTAGGTTAGAGGACTTTAACCTAAATTTAAGTCTAAATTCCCAAATTTGGACTTTAACCAAGTAGAATTTTTCATTCTCCCTTTTCCAAAGCAATTGTTTCATTTTCAAACAGTGGAGTTACTAAAATAAATAAACGTAAGCCAGAATGTTTAGGCAAGTTATATTTATTTTTTAAAACTCATCTATATTTATCATCCTTTAAAGTAGAATGTGACTTTGGTACTACATTTCCATTCATAAGCCTTACTCTTGAGTTTTTCAAATGGCTTTATAACAGCCTTAGGAAGGTTTATAGTTTTGTTTCTCTGAGTACTTTGGAAGACAAACCCTGTAGAGAGTTCCTCCCATCCAGTTACTTCAGTTTCACATACGTCTAAGGCACTGGTACATGCAGAATTTGTAACTCTAGGGGAAGGGAAGTTTAAAAAGTGGATCCTAACAAAATGAAATTCAAAGGTCAAGGTATATGTAAAGAGAATGATTTGCCAAGAAATAGGTTTCATTACTTCCAAATAGCTTTCATTACTTCTTTAGTTTTGTTTCCATGAGAACTTATATTGGGAAATGAACTTTGAAGCAATGTGTATTTGTTTTCAAATATCCACATCGAAATACAATAATTTTGGTTAGCTTTCAAATACTTTTAAGTGGCAATAAATGTGTGGGATTCAGTAAACCTTAAGTGACATTTGTTTTCAGATGTGAGGGATAAGAGCAGAAACATTTCATCTTTTGAAATGGAAATAAGTAGGAATCACAATAAAACAGTGACACTATAAAATGAGACATTGATAGAAGAACTTCATTTCAAATGTGTTTCAAATGAGACTGATGACTTTTCTGTCTATTCAGAATCCAGTAAAAATATATAGGTAGGTTTTAGCCTTAAGAAGATGAAGTTTAAAAAAATGTAGATAAAGAAGAAAAATGGTTTACATTTTAAATTATTTAGCATGAGAATAATGGATCAAAATGTGTGTTGTAAAAAGAAAAAAAATGTGTGTTGTAAGACCATGTTGGTGTTTATCAAGAATCTCTTGAGGAAATCCTGATTTTGAGGGAATTTGCTATCACAAGAGAGACATAGTTTATAAAGAAATAATAATAATTCCCACAACTCTTTACTAACTGGGAAAGCAGTCTGTAATATTATTCACTTCTTTCTTCTTTTTTATKCCCTCTCAGAGACTTTTTATAATTAATACTCCAATTTCCCAGAATTCTTTAAATGAGGATGTCAGATAATAGTGCTTAGAGACTCAGAGCAACTAACAAGTTAGCACATTGTGCTCAAGGTATAAATCCTTCTCTTGAGGGTTTGGTTCTCAGAATCTGGTGTCCCAGGATGAACTGATAAAATGTAGGTTTATAAACCTACAGAGATTATGTCTGAGCTGTGACTCTACATATTCTTGCTTTACAATCCCCTACCTAATTATAGCAACCCTCTCTTCATAGCAACACCTCTTGTTTACAATATAGTTTTAAAAAGAGAAAAAAAGAAGCAGTCTATGATTCACCTACCAACTGATGAGCACATTCTGTGGCTGACACATGTGATTTAAAATTCTTGCACTTTTCCACAAGATCTAGTAACTGTTGAGCCACAGTTTGTATTTCTTCATAAGTTGCTTTCTGAAGAAACTGAGCAATCATAATGCTGGTACTGAAACATATTGGTGATTGTTAAAGATAGAATCAAACCCTTTTTCTCTGTTGTTTTTTTATTATATCACTGTTGCTTCACCCCCACCCAAAACTGTATTTTTAAATTTCAAACAAAAGAATATTAATGATAAAACTCACAGGTCTTTTAAATTCTCTTCCACATAATTTTGGGTACTAAGATGCTGCATGGCTGAAAAATAAAATTTCATTTGCTGATGAGCTGGGTGCTTGCAACTCCCACATTCATTTATTGAAGTCCTAACCCTCAGAGAGATGGTATTAAAGGTGGGGACTTCTAAGAGGTCATTAAGGGGAATGTCTTTTAAGCAAGGCCCAAGGAGCTCATTCTTTCTTCCTACCATGTGAGAACATAGCAAGAAGGCATTATTTCTGAATCATACAGTGAATTTACACAAGATACAAATATAAGAGTACTTACCAGATCCAGAATCTGACAACATCTTGATATTGGACTTCCCAGACTCCAGTACTGTAAAAAATAAATTTCTGATGTTTATAATCTTCTGAATTCATGGTATTTTATTATAGCATCCCAGATGGACTAAGACATTTAGAAAAGAGGAAAATTTCCAAATTTAAATCTCCCTTTAAATTCTTCAATCTGTATGTACATAATAATAAATTTTTGGATCTATTCTTAATTGCCATAATGAATAAGATGAATGACCAGAATATGTTTTCACTGATCTTTAAACTGYTTTCTATGAATGATTTATTTATATTCAAACATATTGTGTAGCTGAACTCTATCATTGGTCTACAAATAAGCTGCATATGGTTGTGTTGACACTTCTGAGTTAATTAAATTTGATGATTTGGTTATTAAACTCTTTAATTAGATGTTATTAACACACCCACAGTTAAATATTAGCATGGGAAACAAAATTGTAAACATTAACACCTTGTCAGGCTTAATTTGATAGAGAAGATGTCTTACACCTCTGATTTGYCCACCACCCTACCATAAACAGTGTCTTCCTTCTTATACTAAGAGCTTCTAAAGGACTTGGCAGCTATTTACTAAATAAACAGACCATTATTAGTTGCTATATTAAGATGAGAAAGGCTTAGGAGAGAGCTATCCTAAGTTCAACTTCTATTTGTAGAAAATATCTTAAGCTCTGTRAGTTTATTTCTCTAGCTGTAAATGTACATATCATATCAGGTGGTCAAGATTAAATAAAAAGTGTGAAGTACCAAACATTGGGTTGGCACATAACAGATACTGAATAATGAAGCTTATAATGTTATTGCTGTTACCATTCATATTATTTCTCTGCCTAAACTCCTTTATCCAATTTCCAATATTGGTTTGCTTCTCTGACCTAAAGTGAAAGTAAGGCTAAAGTGAGATGTTCCTGTATGTTTTGCCTTGGTGCATTTCCTTTTTCTGACTTCATCCCACATGCTAATGTTCAGCAATTTTCAGTGATTCTACTGACAGCATGACTGCTGAGACAGTAAGTCTTTCCACGTGTATTTTCATAGTCATTATGCCTACTTGCCTTAGCCTTACACATGTGATGTGTAAGTTATCAGTAGGATTTCCTACCTGCATGTAGTAAACTTGTCTGAAGAATTTGACATTTAATGTAGCTGAAGAAAACAAGAAAACATATGGGTTTAAGAATCTTCATTATTTCAGATGAATCTTTATGGAAGATGTTCTGTCATTTGAAAGAAATGAAGAATTTATTTATATTCTTTTTGAGGATTGACTGTTAACAATTAACTTTTCTGGCTAATATTTTTTTCTAAGTCCACTTTGACCCTAAAGAGAATTGAGGAAATCCATGACAATGAAGAAATATTATTGATGGATTGCATTCTTTAGTGCTACTGGATATTAAAACAAGTCATGTCAATCTTGTTTGTTCCAAGATTACAAAATGCAGGCCTTGTAATAAAATAATAAACACCTTTGGTAAATACTRGACTGCAATATCTTATTTCCTAGAAATTCTTATTGACACGTACAAAGTTCTGAAGTGTCAAGGGAGACAGTAAACATGTGCTACCCTAGCTTAAGTAAATGGTCAGGGCCCAGGTGTCAATGCTGGGCATATTTACAAGACCCTGGAAAAAGAGGAGTTTCAAGTCCCACATGCATTGGGAGCAACTCCAAGGAATTGGGACCTAATTTATTAAATGCTTACTATGGATGAGAGATACATTTTCCTGAAAACAACCCCCAAATCTGTTATTTAGATTTGGAACATATTAGCTTTTGGTTGAGGATACAGGTGGCCCTATGTGGTAGAAAGCCAAGGTTGGCAAAGAGAAGACTATGTTTGATCAGTTTCCACCATCGTTTCTGGGATCTTCTAAATAGTCCTAATGCTCAGTGTCTCTTCTGTCACTCGTCCTTAGAGCTGTTCCCTTGACTTCTTACTATAAGCCTCCAGGAACTATCAGATGGAACTTTTAAACTAAGTTCCATCCTTTGGGTGAATACTGTCAGACTGTTACCTACCGAGGTCGTGACTAACTGACCAGTAAACTCTTCTCCTCCGAGCCAAGCTCAACCTTAGAATTATAAGAGCACAGTGCTATGGGCAGCCACTATTGATGGACTGGAGTTGACACTGAAGGGACAAAAAGCATCATAAACTAATTTTTCCTTGTAAAAATAATAAGTGACCCAAATTCTCCATGGTGGTCCTCATTTCAGAAACATTTGCAATCACTAGAATGAGATTTTTGATCCAAAAATGTGTTAAGCCTAATGATAGTGATTTATCGTGGAATTTCAGACCTTAGGAAAGTGAATTCATGGGGATTATTTAAGTGAATAAGCTGGTTTGTGGAACGTCACTCAATGGATTCCACAGAATGTGCTCTTTAACAAAGGAAGCTCTCCAGGCTGGCCTTTAAAATAAAAAATGGAAGGTATACAAATACAAGATTTAGTGATGATTTGTAACAAATACTATTTGCAAATCAAATATAATTCTTACTCAAGTCATAGAAGCAGATTCAACAGGATCTTAGAAGGACTAGGACAAGATCCCTGCATCTCACCAGAACCTTAAGGGGTAACAGCTCAGGTGAAGATAGTTTTGACATTCACTATTGTGCCATTTGTCTTATCACATTTACAATCTTTTCTATTGAACTCTTCCTGTGTCCAGGTATGTTCTAGTCATTGATATGGATTCTGGGCAAGTAATGCAGAACGAGTTTGACTTGCCCTCACTCCAAATCTGCTCTTCTCCAGGCAAAATGTGTCTTTTGAATAAGCTGTTTCTTTCCCTCCTTTCCTCATATCACACTGGTTACCTGAATTTATTAGTGAGTTCCTTGATATGGAAGTAGAGATAGAAGTGTATGGCAGGTTCCTCTATGATAATACAGTTAGGTGGCAGAAGTTTCTTGGATCTAAGATTTTATATCTGCTTCTCTTATTAGAATCCAATAAAGCAGAATCCAACATTAAGTATTAAATTGAATCATCTAACTGTACTCTGCTGTTTCATTTCTGTTTATTAAACCTATTATCTATTGTTTCTACTTTCTTCCTTATTCTCCCCAGTTARTGAGTGTTTAGAGAAAAGATCAAAGGACAAAATAGTTTCATGAGTTTTTCACCAATCACCCGCTGACCAATGTAATAAGTTAAATARGAATTTAATTACTTTATGAAAAGCCTTTGTGATGTGGTGGTTATTATCCCACTCTGCACAAGGAAATGGAGGTCAGAGAGKGTAAGGAACTTCTCTGGGCCCTGCAACAAGTCTGCAGCACTAGGAACTTGAAGATTCTATCCTGCATCCTCATCTCAATTCCCATGCAGTGTGTCCCACTGTAGGAGTCCTTTCTCATTTCTCTGACATCATAGGTGACCACCTTCTCCTCCACTCAGCAAAACAAAGGGACTGTGTCCATCTGATTCACGTTTGTATCCACAGTGTCTGCCATACAATGAGATTCCAATAAATATTAGTTGAAATGGATAAGAATATGTTCTAATTTGTGAATGTCCTCATGTGATCTATTAAATGGTTATGTTCTTTAATTTTAGACACTGAACCACTAAAAACCTTAAATTTAGAGAACAGTCAGGAAAACAGGCCATGAACTCCTAATCATCCTTCATTTCTTGAGTTCCCCTCTCCACTGACAGTACTGTCAAGCACTTATAGCTCCAACCCATAATGATTTCAGTGTGGAATACATGAGAAAAGCACTACTGTTGCTGGTCAATTGAATGGCCCTGTCCCTCTCTAAATAACACATTTTTAAGGCATGCCACTTGGCCATACTGAGGAGGTGTGGACAGCAGTTACCAATATTAGAGGAAACAGACCCAAATCTYGGTTCTGCCAATTACTAGTCATATCACATTGAGCAGATTATTTTATCTCCCCAAATCTCAGGTTTCCTGTGTGTAAAATAAAACCTACTAATACAGTGGTTGTGAYCAATGACATCATCATGTGAAGTACCTGTAACAATGTTTGATAATTGAAAAGATTGAAYAAAGGCTGGCTGTGAGTAGAAGCAGCAGCTGCAGTAGTAAAGGTGCAAGCCCTGGAAGGCCATTTCCTTCTAGCCCTGGCAAGGAGGAAGCCTCGAGCACTCTACCCACCCAGAACCTCTACAGAGTTCTGACTTCCAGGGAATAGGGCAGGTGAGGCCAGTGTGCAAACGGTGTTGATAGAATAAATGAATCATGATTGCTTGATTTGGGTCACATTGATAGATGACATCAGTCTGAGAAACAACTTCACAATTTTGCTTTATTGCTTGCCACAATAAAATGATTTCAAGTAAAGGTTACAGAAGAATCCTTTTACTTTATTCTTCTCAAAAAAGGGAATTTACCACAGGACAGACAGGAAGCCCATAAGTTGATCTTTGCTGAAAAGAAAAGGTAGCATTTTAAACATCAAAAGAATACAAAATGTTATAAACTTGGTGATGGAAAGTCATGTATTCAATAAAACAGTTAGTGGTAGTCATGTGTTGCCTCTAGTGGTTGCAAACCCACCTTCGTTGGGATTCAGGTCTYTCTTTCTTGAGATTTTTATAATATTGCTGTATCTATGCAACATTTTGTTCCAAAAGTTTGTATTATGAGTCTTACATAAACTGCATAAGAAAAACATCATTTATATATATTCTAGAAATCACAAATATAGTTCTTTTTGTTCATGTAAATGCTACGAGACTCTTGGTTTGCAGTCAATTATATCTCAATTCAATATCATGTCAATTATATCTCAATTCAATATTGTATTGAGACTCTCAAAAAGGATTCTTGGAAGAGGGTTTACCAAGGCTTGTGTGTCCAGGCCAACCCTCAAGGATTTGTCTCTCCCTTATATCAACATTCAGAGACTCAACCATCCAAACAACTGAATGCCATTAGCAGAAAGGCAGAGGAGTGGTTGCTGTACAGCTATTTTGAAAAGTGCTGGCACAAATGTAGCATTACTACCCCCAAAAGAGTGAGTGACAGCCCGAAAAATATTGCAARATCCACCTTGGGATTATGAGCTCCAGGCCATGTAGAATGGACCCCAAGTAGACATTGAAGCATGAGGGGGTAAAGCCAGGGAGAATGAATCAGCTACAAGTACCTCTGACCTTTGATTGAGACAGAAGGGATTACCTCTGGTGCTTTTAACTTCATGTTTTTCAGGCAGCCTGACTTTAGTTGCCAATTTTGGGACCCTGCAATGGAAAAAAGAAATAAAAACATATAGGAAGAAAAGGTTAAGATACTAATATCTAAATGAAGAAAAGGTTAAGTTRCTAATATCTAAATTTAGAAAAGCATGTTATGTTAAATTTTAAAATAGAAATTTAAATCACTTCTAGATTGTATAAGAAGACAGAGGACAACTTGAGAACAGACACTCAAAGTCTTTCATGAACTGCTAATACCTTAATTATTTTCTTTACTTGGACCTAATATACACATTCAGGGAAATGCTAGATACCAATCAATATCCTCTAAGTTAAACTAAGCATATATTTTTTAAAATCTGATAATTTATACCAAAAATGTACTTAGTAGATGGATCTCAACCAGAATGAAAGATGTATGTTGTGTGTTCCTGTATATGAACTGTGAGTTTTGAAGTGGAATGGGTGTTAAGGGGGCAGAGATAAGAAGAAAGGAGATTTTGAGCACAAKGAACAGGCCCTTCCAGGGTGCCATYCACTACAGCTCACATTCATGGGTAACCAAGATTCATACCACAGTAGTTGCTGAGACACCATAGTCACTAAAGTGAGAGGAAGCAGGGGACACCCCCACCMGCACTCGCTCCCCTTCCACTCCCTTATGTGCTCTAAACTGAGGGATGTCGGAAGACCCAGGAAGGTGAGCCAGTCACCTCTGCAAGGCTTTGCTTTCTCATACCCTTCCTGCCCTCCTCCCTTTGAAGTGGATAAGGATTTCCTTTGTAGGTCCCCTTGACTCTGTTTTATTAAGATGGTGAGTGATTTCAAACAGGAGGGTAAGGACCAATGGTATAACTCAAGGACAGTTATCACCCATCCATTTACACTATGGAGACTGAAATTTAGTTTGAATGATATGACCAAAGCTGCAGGGATTAGAACCCTAGTTTTCCTGACAGCTATTCTTCCACCATGTRCTCRTGGAGGAGACAGTACCCAACACCTGAATCAGAGAGGTATCTGCAGGTGAGCTAGWCAGCACCTGTGCTGTCAAACACAGGACTCAAAGACATTGCATAGTGGACACAGAGTCCCACTTTTTAAATTTTATTTGACAAGAGACACCAGTTGCATCTCAGTGGGAAAGAAATATAACTACCTCTTCAAGAAAACAGGCTTCTGGCTCCTGCATTTTGCAGCATTTCTCTGCCATATTAGTGAAACTCGTAAACARAGACTGCAGCTCCTCATAGGTGAGTCCAGGCTTGAGCTTCACCAAATTGACAAGAAATCTATGGCCCAAAGAAATCAAACAGAATTAATTCACAATTTTTTTCTTGACACTCTTCTTTTCCAAAATGCTTGTTAGAGAATTGCAGACCTTGGGCATCTCAACTTGAATCAATATAAAGAGCTAAAATATTCCATTTTTGAAAARGGCTTTTAAACTTTCCCATTAAAAGTACAGTATGGATTCTTTGGAGGGTTATGGAGCTACAAGCAAAATAGTATAAAATATGAACAGAACTACAAAATAAATTACTATACTTGATTTTTCTAGAAAATCTATCTCCAAAATAACTCTAATCTCCCTTYCTCAGCAGCAAAGTAATTTCCACTATGTTTGATACAGATATTGTGTAAATAAATTTAAAAACGGGTCTTATTTCTTGGTATTTAAAGTGTCACCCTGAAGAATGAAAATAAAATTCCTTTAGGGCCCCTCCTTTTTTCCATCATTAAGTAAAATGCTCAAGACAAATATTCATGCCATTCTCTTAAGAAAACGYAATTCATTGTGAACCTGTCCATGGGCGTTTTGCTAATTGCCCCAGCTCACATTGCCAAACAGTCTGCTAAGCACTCCAAGTGTCTAGCAGAGGAAAGACAAAACCAGATTATAAACAATGACAGTAAATATGCACTGKTGTTTTTCTGAATAGGAGAGAGTAGAYGGTTTAGTGGAAGGCATACCAAAAGCACATAATCCATTACAATAAACCTTCTCCAAGATGCATGGTGTATCCCCAGGCTGAAAAAAAAAAAAAAGRTGCATAGAAGAGCATGTTCATACCTGTCTTTCTTTCTCTGAAGCTCCTCATTCTGAGCCTGACACCAGTCCACACAAGAGGTAAAGAAACCTTGAGAGCTGGGTGGCTCATACATTTCATCACCTTTCAATTCTTTGAAGCAGAGCCTTCTGAAGGCAAAGTTTGCTTTACAACAGTGGTCCACAGCAGGGTTGATGGTTCGATTTTTATTTATTCCACATAATTCTCCAAGAACTAAATCTGCCTGCACCAATGAGAATTGAAACTCAGATATGACTTCAAATACTGATGGAGTTTTGAAAAATATGATTAGATGAGGAGTTATAAGCTCCATGATCACTGTGAACTTCACTCAGAAGACACAGGATCTCAAAACACTATCTTATATCCAAACAAAAGTGAAGCCTGGGGTCCTAAGTGACATTATAACAAGAATTCAAAGGACATCAGTTAGGATGCATACACATTAATTTCTTGGTAACAAACTTTTAATTGTAAGCTGAGAACTTCAGTCAGCCAGCAGAAAGTGGTTAGCAAACATTGTGTTCCTTGTTTATGTTCCCTTGCTGGGTACATTCCTTCCCAGGCCTAAAAGGGTTGGGCTGGAAGTAGCAGATCTCTTTCAGAACTCTTCCTCTTAGAGCAAAAAYGAGAATTTATATCAGTACTTAAAATTATAATGTTCCCTGCATCATTTTGAAATAATATTGTGATTCCTAGATCATTTACTGTAACAAATCACTTCTYAGATAAATAAGAAATAGCAAAATAATTTAGAGAATCCTTGAAAAMTATTTAAGACATTCTCTTTTGCTTCTTAGGGTCTTCACACGATAAGCCAAAAGGAGGACTTGACATTACTTGCTCAACAATGTTGAAAACAAGGAAGRGAAGAAAGTAGATAAACCACTACCAATTGGTAAGTAGAAATATTTTTTCTTACTTTAAAAAAAAAATTTTGTTTTACTTATTTATTTTTTATTGGAGTTTTATGATTGTACTCRGTAGTTGGGTTCATCCCAATAAACTCATACATGCACGAGAATCAATTTCAGATGTAYGGGCCATGCTCACCAAATTATCAACACAGGCAAACTCCTCACTTAATGTACAGCAGGTGGTCAAAGCTGTCACCATKTCCTTGCCAAGAGAGATCAGTTCTTCAGTGGAGAGCTGGGGGGCTATCTTTGTGAGCTCGACAAGGGAGCTGAAAGAACATACATTGAGCAAAAGCAGGTTCCCATTGTCCCTGGAAGAGCCACTGAGACCCAGACCCTTCAAGGTAAGTCAAAATAAGTACAATGTGCTCCCTGCTCTCAGAAAATGGTAGAGAAATGTCTCCTCACTCTCCATCTTCCTCAACCTTGCCTCCTATATCTCTGCATTTTTTCTCCCTTTCTYATTTCATGGTCATCTCAGAAGCTCTTAGATCTGCCTGTCTTGTCTCCCCTGTAGAGCTCCATGGCAGTAAATACCTTGGCTTGTAAGTGAAAATCCTGCTTGAAATCCTTTGTGTAGTCAGTAAGTATTAACCGGAGAAATGGATAGACACGTGTTGGCAATGAGATGAAGGAAAATAAGATCTTTAATCCACTGGGTTTGAATTCTCAGCTAATAGCAAGATGGCAGATACAGGGAAGTCATATTTTTTAAAAATGTTTTGTTTTGAAGATGTTCGCTATCAACAAAAACTGCACTCCAKGATRACTAAGAAAATCAGAATTAATTGCATATTACTCATGAATGCACTGAAAGAATAAATATTGCAGTGTTAAGCAAATCCAGAGTTATTTCTATAAGCTCAGTTAAGATAAGTTTAAATCCTAGGCAAAGCATCTCTTTCTCAGGACATGGTAATGACCTTTAGTGTGCTCCATYCTACTCCCAAACAAGGCAAAATCCAGAGACCCTGTTTGGGGAGTGGGAAAGCCAACTTCAAACATAAAATAAAATATCAGAGAATCAATTGTCCAGAATCTTGTATCTTTTTCCATTTCTAACCTCATTTCTGATAGAGGCTTTAATGTGACAATTGACTTTTGTGTTTTTATTCTTTCCCAGAGTTTGTAAATTGCCATAACTAAGACTGACTTTTATTTTTTAACTCTGAGTATAAGCAACCTACTGGTATTTMAAGCCATCCTTCCCCAAATTCTGCAACTGTTCACATTCTTGTTGGACCATCCTGAGGCTTCTCTCAGTTGTCTCATTGAATTTGTCTTCCTGGAAATTAAGAACAGTCACAGTTACAAACATTTTATCTAAGATTCAAACACAAGCTCTATGTCAACTTGTCCAATAGCTTCCCTATTTACAGAACATTTTGAGATTTTCCTTATTATATGTTACTCACTAAATTAAGAGCACTTTTTACACATGTGTGTAAGAATTTGAATTTTTGAATTATAGATTTATTTTTTGCTAAATTTTGAAAGTCCAAAATTTTCATCATGTTGTACGCTTTTTGGATCTTCAAGAGTTTCAAAGTACAATTCAGATTTTATGTTGACAATGACTATATTACATTATCAATTCAAATGGCCAGAGTAATTGTTATCTGCATTTTTAAGTAAATGAAACTGGTCTTGTAAAATTAATTTGACTTTCTTGGAATGAACCAACAATTAAGTATTACTGCAGAACATTTTAAATGATGTTTATCTTTATCTTTTTTTCATTATTTGGATTTGGAGCTTAGGGGCCTCCAACAGTCTTCTTCAAATATTTTATGGACTCTCTTGCATGGCATAAAAWTAGACATCTTTCAAGTGACTACCAGAAAGAACTACATATCAGCATATGAATGCCATGGGACAAATATTTTTCCCTTTAAAAAGAGACTTTTCTAGCACCATGATTGGTTAAGAATCAGGAGCAGACTACCTTGTTAGGAATAAGTGACAGGGCAGGAATTAAAAAACTCAGTCTTCTTACTTCATTGTCAAATTTGAACCAGTAARCTAACATTTATTGCATGTAAAAGAAAAAAGTTTTAAAAACCAAAAGTAGCACATATCAAAGGAATGAGAAATTTTAGAATGTGAGATACTTACATTTCTATAATATATAAGGATTCCATTAGAGTTAATATGAAAAACAATCTAATTTCAGTAGGGGTAACAAACATGAACAAATTGTTCACAGGAAATTTATAAATGTAGTAACTAAAATCATATGGGAAAAATCTAATGAAATTTTAAAAATCAAGTAAATGTTTGCTTAAAATACAACTATTATTTTTTACATATAAATCTCTCTCAATTTTTTTATTTTTTGATGGGGATCAAACTTACAACCTAGCACATTTTAGGCAGGCGCTCTACCACTGAGCTAYATACCCAGCCCTATTTTTTATGCATAGACTAAGAAGCTAATTTCCATGTGTAATGTTGGTAARTATGAAATTGAAATGAGCATACTCAAGCATTGCKTTGGGACTATAAGCTGGCAAAGCATTTCTAGACAGTAACTTGGCATTTTGTATTCAATTTTTTTGATAGTCCATATATTTAGACCCAATAATTTCCCCTCTGACAATCTATCCTAACAAAACTCATAAAAATTAATAAAAA